TCCCTCCCTCCCTCCCTCCACCCATCCATCCTTCCTTTCTACTCAGTCAAATTGCATTTAATGTATTAATTATAAGATCATGTTTCATTCATCTATAATTGATGGTTAATCAATTTATCTATATCAATGGCAGATCTTGGATTTTTTTTTTTTTTTTACTCAATTCCAAGAAACTAAATATAGGACCACCTTTACTTCATGTATTCATTTGTTTATTTTTTTCTTTCCAATGGGCCTTAAGAGTGCTTTCATCAGTAACCGTCCGGTGGTACAAGGATTCAGAAATGGTCAATGTGAATGGCTCTTCAAAATATGGATATCTAAAAAATACTACATCAATGACGAAGAAACTGATAATATATGCACCCGACAAGGAAGACGAGGGAGATTATCAATGCTCTGCTACAGGCCTTACAACTATAACGTCTCCAAAAGCAAAACTAATAGTTAGAGGTACACTGAATTAATAAAATTACTATGTAGCTATAATTGAGAACTCTTGAGAACATTGAGAACTCTCTTCTCTACTCTTCTCTTCTCTTCTCTCCTCTTCTCTTCTCTTCTTCATTTCATTCTCCATTTATTCGAAATCGTCTGGTATAAACGTTTTTCTGTTCTTTTGTAGATCCTCCTCCGACATTTTCAACTCAATTAGCTCCATCAATCAACACATGGCCAGGAAAACGAATAGAAATCAAATGTCCTTACATGAATGATAGTGATGATTCTGATGAAGACCCTGATGACGATGATAATATTACATGCATATGGTATAAGAATGCAGAGCTACTTGTTCTGAATGGCACTAGAGTGACTGTAAAAGAAAAAAACTTGATAATAAAGAATACAAAGACCTCGGATTCTGGTTTATATCAAGTCCTCATTCGTAATAGTGGAGGAGAGGTCATTGGAAATGCGACGTATCTTAAGGTTAAAGGTATTTGTATAATATTCTATATTTTTTATTATAAACTAATTACGATTTTGAGACGACAATACCACGAAATATTGACGGCTAGTTGGGTGAAAATATATTCGATATTGGGCGGAGTCGCGAAGCCTTCTGAAGCATTTGGTTTTGTTTTGACAACAGGTAATGTTTCGTCAAGTATTCCACCAAGGCCGACCAAGACACGATCTCCAACATCAACTAGTGATATATATAGTAGTTCTATCAGCATTTCTAGTGCATCGACACTCGTACAAGAATCACCAACATCTACTGTATCAGCAGCATTAACACCAACATCAAAGTCACCACCACCACCACCACCACCGACAACAACGTCTACAACACTTCAGACAAAACTACCCGAATTATCATCGACGATTTACTCAACCGATACCTTTATCTCCACTACGACAATTGAACCCACCCCAACATCCAAAATTTTCTCATCAAGCATTGCATTAATATTACCAAAAACATCAACCACTACACGAACCACAACCATACATAATCAAACTGTAACGGAACCTGCAACTCCGTGGACTACAGTCGCCGGTGGATGGGATACTACAGATAGAACGACTATGAAAAGTAATGAAGACAGTCGCAAGAAGACGTCTGTAAATGATGGTCAAAAAGGTAGGGATTGGTTTGGACAACATTTGGAATTCAAAAATGGTCTATTGCGCGAACACGTGCACCTTGCTACCCCGAGGTCCACAGATTCTCCATTTTGGTAGTGGAGCAGATCATTCACCACCTTCCATACATCGATTCACTGATCACACAAAGCTTTAAATATGGGCTTCAAAGTAGATTCATAAGATTGTTCAAATTCGAACCTTCAGCCGCGATTGAATCTTTGTGCTTGACCAGTGAACCGAAATTGACGCTATTTTTTAATCACATCACGTGAAATCAATGCTCAGCCAATGAAATGCTCATTAGCGGTGCTGTCATGGTCCGGCACGTCACATCACGTCCATGATTAACGTAACTTTAATTGTCATTCGAAACTGCGAAATCCGGATTGTGATTTGCTATTCTCTCGTGTCTTGGTTAAAATGCGTGAAATTACTGTTTGATTGTTTCTCTTTCGTTTCCCTGCCTACCTTGTTCTCATTGGTTTCTTTTGTCTTATTCTATCACATAAACACTCCTTTCTACCACCTCTTACTCTTTTACTCCGACGAAGGACTAGCGTCCGAAACGTCAGTAAGTTGTTTCATCTTTTGAAGGTGTAAAATTTACCCTTTTATATATCATTACTGTGAAATTATTGTGTGTGTTTCCAAGTGAAACGTTTCTTGAATTTTATTCCAATTATTTCAGACTTGTTAATATGGATTTCTGCGGCAGTTGGTGGCTTTTTAATCCTTTCAGTAGCAATCGTGACTATAGTTTACTGTTGCGTCAAAGGCAAACGGTAAGTATTTTGATATGGAATTCGAGATTTAGAACAACTTACCAGCAGGGTATGTGACAGGGCAGGGGGCGGGACATGACAGGGGACGGGACAGGGGACATGACAGGGGACGGGACAGGGGACGGGACAGGGGACGGGACAGGAGACGGGACAGGGGACGGGACAGGGGAAGGGACAGGGGACGGGACAGGGGACGGGACAGGGGACGGGACAGGGGACGGGACATGGGACGGGACAAAGGGACGGGACAGGGGACGAGACAGGGGACGGGACAGGAGACGGGACAGGAGACGGGACAGGAGACGGGACAAGGGAACGGGACGGGACGCAGGACAAAAAATACTACGCATGTTGTTTTTAACTACATGTAACTACATTTGCAACTAATATCTCAATGTATGTTTCTTTTAGGCCTAGAACACAGAGCATTAAGCTGAAAAAGGAAAAATACGAGTTAGAGATGAAATCCTTATCGAGGTAAGACAGCAGACGTTACTTGGAAGAGGGAGAGGGTGGGGAGGGTAAACATATATAATACACATGAAAAAGGTTTGCTATTTTTACAAGATGTGTCGGAAACGAATAGATGGAAAGTCAAAACCTCTATAGTAATACGAGTTTTTTTCCATTCAGGCGAGGACAAGGAACAGGCAAATGTCTGTCAGGTATGAGCTTGAAAATTCTGGAGCATTAGGCTATTTGTAGGACAAAATCATGTGACTGTTGCTGGATGGCAAAACAACTCGGACTTCCTTTATTCAAAGAACGTTTGCTGGATAACTAGTGTCATATCCAAAACCTTTTCTAAAAATGTTTTCCCTTTAAAAGATACTTTTGCTTTTAAGATAAGAAGCAATGTACCTTCTCAAAATTATTTTGAATGCGATGCTAACATAGAAATACAAAAGAAATGCCACAATTTCCATCGAGAAAAAGTCTGATTTCTGTTATATTTTCATGTTTTTAGCCTCGCATACACGATACTTTTAAGAAGGATACATTTATTGTTTGTTTGCCATCCAGCAGAGCCTTCTCCAAGGGACCTGAGGCTGAATTGATTCGTTATTAAAGTGATATATCAGCACATGACTGCAAGTGGGATACAATACTTTTAGCACGACAAGGTGTCTTGACGAGACTAAATTTGGATAATATGCTAATACACCACCTTCCATCTCCCTTCTTTCGTTCTTTCGTTCCTTTGTTCGTTCTTTCGTTCGTTCTTTCGTTCCTTTGCTCGCTCGCTCGTTCGTTCGTTCTTTCGTTCGTTCGTTCGTTCGCTCATTCGTTCGTTCGTTCGTTCGTCAGATGAGTAAGAAAGCGTCCCCTAAAACAGCCCCATGATGCAACTCGTTCTTCAACTCCACACCGGCTAATACGAACACACTAACCTATATACGTGAATCCTGATAAATTATTTTCTTATTACTGAAGCTACAGACAAAAGCTCACCAAGAAACATCCCGGGAGTAGATAAAAGACGACTGCTGACCAGTGATGAAGAGTTCCTGTATGCACCTGTTAGTGCTCTGAACAACACTGCCGCTGACCTAGACAACGATCAATCTCCGGCTCAACCCGTGTACGCTGAACCATTCAAGAACACAAAAAGTAGGATAAATTATTTATAAAATTAATATATCTATTTCACTTGCAGTCGCGACAAAATAGGGTTTTGGTGGACGTCAATCAACGTGTTGCCATGACATTGTAGGAAAACACAAAGTTTTCAAGGGCACGTGACTATAGAGCTAGGTGTGACGTATTTCCGGGTCCAACTGCTTGCAAAAACTGCCAAATAAAGCGAAGATGTTCTCGATAATTGAACCTTCGCCATAAACAATTAAAACTTTGGACAGTAAATCCTGTCATAAAGAAAAAGCAAGAAAAGTATTTTCGTTTTGAAACCCGGAAATAGTTTTTCCATACAAGTGACTTCATACCTAAAAGCTCTGTAAAATGTCGTGGAAACGCCTTGATTGACGTCCCCCAAAACCCACTTTGTCATGACGGCAAGTTGTACAGCTTCGCGAGTCAACCTCGTTCCCGAAGCCCTCTACCACCGTGGAAAGGGCCTTGGGAACGATGGTATTCGCGCGTGTGATTTGAAAGCGCTGTCATCATGAAACTAACTTTGCTCTTTTACACTCCTTTAGGAAAACCATACAATCATCCGTTACCAACTACTCCAGATCCACAAGACGACAAGTCCGAAGATCGTCCTGATTCAATTCATTCATATCTCGAGCTTCTTGGTCCAGACGAAGTCTCGAGTGATATATACGCAGAACCAAAAGAAGGCGAGTTAAACGACTGTGTTAAAAATACTGTAAGACCCAGTGAATGTATTTACGACTGTGCGAGAGAAGGCGTTCTAACGAACACCCTTCGAAGGATAATGAAGCAAGAGAGAAATGGTGAAAATAATATCAATCCACCAATATATCACGTGCTCGAAAGTCAACCAATAGAGACAGGAGATACGAAAAGAGAATCTTCACTGTATTCTAGACCCGAGGATATCTTCCCCGGCGTACTCCAATCTTCGTCTAACGATAGACTATCACGGTCAGAACCATTGTATCATGTTTTAGAACCACTAGGTAACTTCTACAACGGCAAAGAAAATTTAGACGACGAATACGAGTGTTATAAAGCAGAGGATACTATCAAACGAGAGAGTATATATCAGCCTCTTGTAAATTACGTTAAGAACGGAAATACTAATGTGAGTGGTAGTGATAATATATATCAAGCTCTTGATGCCAAAGCGAGGAGTCCCTCAACACCGAGCTCAGCTATTGATAATGGGAACTCCTTCAACGGCACTCATATTCGGGATTCCCGCGCTTTAACAGACCCCAAACGTCGTTCAAGCTACAGTGATGATAGTGAAGATCTCTACCAGCCCCTTAACAGCTCCGAAAGATGCCCGCTGGATGTAAGTAAACCGAGAGGTAGTCTTAACAAGCTCAAGCACCCTAAAAGAGCCGATTCTTTTTTATCAAACGGGGAATCGTCTTCCAGTCCTTCATCGAGTTTGAAGCACTACTACGAAGAACTAAGACTCCATTCTGTAGATGTATCACCTTCTGGAAGCTTAAAGGAATCTAAAAAATCTCGCCCAGGTCATCGACGCAATCTAAGTGACACTCATATGATAGTTAATATTTCAAACCTGAATCGTAGACGAGCTTCTGAGCAAGGACCAGCACTTTCTGCGACAAACACTGAACATACCAAGTTTAGACACAAGCGTTACCATAGTGATGCTGGTCTGTGCCCTGTAGATCTGAGCCAGCTTCGTGTGAGTATTGTTCTAGAGAATGTGAGTCGAAGTGATGATTCGAATAGCTTATATATGCCATTGATAAAAACCGGGATAGATCAAGAGAATAAGAAAAGGTATTCTCAAAATAAGTCATTATAGAACTTAATCACGCTGTGAGATTTTGAAAAAATGGTTTTGATAGAAAAGGGAGATACCATTCACGTCGATATTAGCCGAACTTAGCGATTGCACTTAAAGTAGCCAATATATAAAATGAAATTACGGATTTACAATGAAATCTATGAGCAATTGATTCTCCGATCCTGGGCTGTAATTGGTCAAGGAATATTGCCGGTAGCTCGTCCCTTTCACTGGCTGATCAGTGTTGTCCTGGTCTTTGATTTGTCAAAAGAATGTCGTCAATTCCGTACCGTGCCTAACATTTTCACTGGCTGATCAGTGTTCTCCTGGTCTGTGATTGGTCAAGAGAATGTCGTCAATTCCGTACCGTGCCTAACATTTTCATTGGTTGACCAGTGTTCGTCTAATCTGTGATTGGTCAAGAGAATGTCGTCAATTCCGTACCGTATCCTAGCATTTTCATTACCTGACCAAATTTTTTAAAGACTTTGATTTGTTCAAGCAAAGTAGTCGTGCCGGCAGTAATTAATCATGAATTTTTACGCTAACAAATATCAAGTGAAAAACTTACCTTACATATGCTATTGACTGAAAAAAAAGCAATACCTTCAAATTACAAATTAAAAAAAGACCAAAGACAAATCATTTCTTCCCACTGCAAACTCAAACAACACAAGCAATTTTTATAGGCCATTTATTTATCTACTCGGCTAGAGGTTTGCTAAGGATTACTCTCAGCTGGGAAATCTGGATAAATTTGCGATTGGTTACAATTGTTGCACAACATGTCTCCTAGCCTTCTTTTCAAGTCTTTTTCATTATGAAAGAGAATAGCCGCGCTAACAGCACCGTTGGAAAATCCAAAAAAAGCACTCGCATATCTAGCTAAATAATCACTAGTAAACGAAATCGTAGGCCTTAACACCATCACTAATCCATTGTATACGATAAAAAGTAAATATGGGATGATAAATGCCAGTATTAGCCACATGAACATTCTTGTAACCTTGAAGCGACTGGTTTGGGAAGGTGTTCGCTTCGAGGTTTTTACTTGCTGCAAAGGAGCAACACGACATCTTTTGCGACGTACAAACTTTAAAATGCGAAGATTGACAAAAATTAAAATAATACTTGGTATTATATAACAAATGGTAATAAAAGCAATGAATAAACATCTGTATAGAGGAAGAGTATTATCGTATTTACAAATCAAAGTGTACGAATTTTCTTCAATCTCAAAATATATCAGTTTGTATGTGGGCATAGGGATAAGCGTTAACAAAACACCTAAAACCCAAGCTCCCATGACTATTTTCTTAGCTTTGTGACGAGCAAGGACTTTAAATGGATGAAAAATAGCAAAATACCTCTCTATTCCGATGACTAATAGGTTCAGAATCGTAATAACTGGGAAAATAAAGTTGAGGAAGCGATTGACTTTACAAATCCAGTCATTGTGAACAAAGTCAATGAACATTTCAGCTGTAACTAAGGGAAGGCTAATAAGACAGCAAAGTAAATCTGACAAAGCAAGACTATTGATGAAATATTCTTTCAAGGCCGATCGAGTGAGTGCTCTTTGTATTGCACAGCGTCTTCTTCTGTGTTGCTTGTGCTTGAAGTACAGAATCAGGGAATTCGCAATCAGCCCATACATTCCAAACAAGAACATGGCGGTGAATATAACGAGTTTGACGTTGTTACTAACAGGCGCAAAGACATATTCTCTGCTGATGCTTTTGATTGCTTGACTGAAATTATCGCTGCAGCTGTTTCTCGTGTTCATGATCTAGAAGAAAAAATAAAAGCGATTGTTTTATTTAAACTTTTGTTTTTGTTTTTGTAATTTGTTTGTTTTTTCTCTCTTTCTTTTCCTTTTGATCAAGACAATTCATTTTTTTTTTCCTATTGAAGATTAGAAAGCAATATTGTAAAACCAAAATTCGATCAAAAGCGAATTCTTTTCAAGAGGGAAATAAACTCTTACACTGGGTAGCATGGGTGGCGTTCCCGGCTAACGCATCGTCTTTCACCGCTGTGAGTCCAACGGGTCGGGTTGCGGTTTGAGCCCTGCAGTCGCCACGTGTGAATTGAATTTGTTTGATGTGTTGTTCTCTTCTCCCTTATTCTACGAGGGTTTTCTCCGGGTTCTCTGGTTTCCTCCCTCCTTAAAAATCAACATGTGAGTTGAGCGTTGTGTGCATAGAATATTAAATGTAGTGGTAGTGCGTGTGAGCGAAAAGTGTCCCCATTCAGTGCGAAACGCTAGAACGACTAGACACTTAAATAAAAGTGTTTTATTTACAAGATTCCATCAAGCTTTTAGTTGTCGATATTAATTAAAAAGCAATTGAGATTTCTACTGGTTCCAGTTGGCATTGTAGTGCTCTGTGGGACAATTTTTCAAAGATGTCCTATATTTTGTTTGTCCTCTAATGTCAAAAAACTAAAGACGCTATTACAGGGAGTATTTTTTTCTGCAACTTGTCCAGCAACAGCGTTGCGCGATACAAGTTGCATGAAGCATTGCAGCGTGTAGCCTACAGCGCAATTTGAAAAATGTTGCGAGACAAGTTGCAGAAATTGTTTGCGTCTCCGTTGCACCGTGTAAACACTCGTTCATGCATTTCGTGTCGCAACGCTGTTGCGAGACAAGTTGCAGAGAAAATCGCGCCTTAAAAGTACTTGTGAAAGTCGGTAAAATCAGTGTCAGCGCTTATTCATTCAACTATAGCCTCTCCAAAACGAGAAGACGCTATTTTTCGATATTGCAGTGACAATTATTGCCCCTCATAACGATATTTAATAAATTGTTTACAAAGAAATAATTCCTAAATATTGAAAGAAATAAAATTACATCTTTCATTGAAAATGTCAAATGTACTAACCTTGCCTGTTACGATCCACAGTTGAAGTACTTTTCTCGCTACAGACTGTAAGACTGTCAAGCTTCAACTGAAGATACCTCAAAATGTTCTTAACTTTAAGTTCAATATTATATTCGGACATCTGGTCATTCAATCAAGGATAGCGTCAATTTTATCTGTTCATATCACTTTGGAAAAGAAGGACAAAATATGTCTTGAATTGGCAGCTGATTGCCTGCGTACGTAGGAAGGAAGAAAACGTTGTTCTAGCTACCGGATAGGTAAGATAAGATAGCATAAGATTAAGGAGCTGGAGATGGTTCCATCATTTTATTTCATTTCATTTCATTAATTGCAGAAAGAATTTGTTGCGCCATCATAATCTTGTTAAATATTTAATTGTTTAAGAAGATAAAAGCTTGTTTCCATAACAAGGTTTGTTAAATATACTAACAATACAAAGATTAAATCCCGTTTTTAGTGACTTCTCTTTTTCACGTGACACCAGAGTTTAAGAAGAGGCAGATTAAGATTCACGTTTTCATTCCCGCAAACGGCAAACGTGAACACGTTTTCATCGTTTCCCTACATTTCACTTTACCTTTTGCAAACCTTCTCGACAAAGACAAGTATTCTTTTGTTTATCTACTACTCGGAAACTTTTGCGATTCCTTTTCTCTAATTTTACGGCAAACGAGAAACGTCAGTTGACCATTAAGAAATTCTTTAAAATTAGTGAAAAGGAATCGCAAAAGTCTCCAAGTAGTAGATAAACAAAAGNNNGTTTCCCTACATTTCACTTTACCTTTTGCAAACCTTCTCGACAAAGACAAGTATTCTTTTGTTTATATACTACTTGGAGATTTTTGCGATTCCTTTTCACTAATTTTAAAGAATTTTTTAAAAAAAAATTGTTCTTCTAAATCAAAAAAAAAAAAAAAAAAAAGCACAAAAATCTACAATTGTTGGTCATGATAAATGAAAAGTGTACATATTTTTGGTTAGAAGGCTTGTAAAAGGCAAAGTGAAATGCAGGAATAGGATAAAAATGTGGTCATGTTTGTTTTTTGCGAGAAGAAAAATATGATACTGAAAGTGTTTAATTGAATATCTCGTTTTAAAGGTAAACGCACGTCGTTTGTTTACAACTCTAGTAAAAGGGAATCGTTATAAAAATCTCCAAGTATACTACACAGAACTTAACCAATTGAAAGATTATTTGTTTTTGGTGAGAGGATTTGTAAAAGGTTAGGTAAAGCCAAGTGAGATACAAAAAACAACAAAACAAAAAAGATGAAAATGTGGTCATGTGCGAACAGCAGACATGCAGCTGACCTTCAAAAATCTTCCAGTGAAGAAGAATAAAGATTAATATCTACACACACTTCATTTTCCACTAAATTTTATCAGTTGCCATAAAAACCACCTGATCTATTAGGGGCACGTCTAACTCGCAGATCAAGTTGGAGTATAGCTTGTTAGGTTTTGCATAAGTAAGAAAACTAGAGGACCCTAAAAAGCCCTCGAATCAAGAGAGAGACCCACTAGACCTCTACTCGCATGTGATGCCAAGCTCAGGAGTCAAACCTGAAATCCCAGAGTTGAAAGAAGAGCACTGCTAGGAAAAAACAACCTTGATATTCTCATTCTAATATATTTTATTGGATTTCTATTTTCTATATAAAAATGACAATATCACAATCAAGATTTTCCCAGCCCCCTGTATGCGCATGCGTGCATTCCGTGATTGAAGAGCGTTTTCGTGAGAAAAATTATCTTATTTTCAGAATATACAAACTGAAATTTCCTAAATATGCTTTTGAAAGAGACCAAGATAATGAATTAGCAAAAAATAAAATAAAAGTTTCAAGAATTGGCTTTAGGTTTTTGCAATTTGTGAAGCCTATGTATTACGATACGCGTAGACGTTTTAACTCCTTTCGTCATAACGTTCTTTCAACTATTCAAGTGACTTTATCTTTGGGATATATAATCCGTGACGTGTAAAGACGGAATCGAACAAACAATTATAAAAAATAATATGTTTTCATACTTGATTATGATTGGATTATTCATTGATAATGCATTATGTTACAGTGGTCGGTTTTGCGCAGGCGCATAGTAAGCCTAACCGGATCGCGCGGCTGACCATGATGAACGTATGCACAGATAGATGAAAATTTTGAGCCTTTCCATTACCATCGACCCTTTTAAAAAATTGAATGCGAGGCTTAAAAGAAAAAAAAAGGGACCTATCGAAGAATGTTTTCCAGGAAAATCTCTTCCAAAATATAAATTAACTTTTATCAAATGAATTTTAGTTGTCCAACTCATGATCACTAACTTTTACTGAAAAATACAAAAAAAAAAAAAAAAAAAAAAAAAAAAAAAAAAAAAAAAAAGATG